AAAAAAACAAAAATTTTTTACCCAAAACAAAGGGATTTGGTCTTTACATCAAAAATTTTCCCCCCCCCCCCAAAAAAAAAAAAAAAAAAAAAAAAAAAAAAAAAAAAAAAAATCTTTTACTTGGATATATATATATACATATATATACATATACATATATATATATATATATATATATATATATATATATATATATATCCAAGTAAAAGAAATCTAAACCACTGTCATCTATGTAATGTGAACTTGAAGACACTCACTCTGCATATTCATGCTCATTCAGGTCAGCAAACATGAAACCATGGTAACCAAAAACATCGCCTGCAAAGAACTTTATCTTGTTTTCGTGACATATAGAGTTTATCCTGAGGAGCTGGTCTTTGATCAGATTGGTTGCACAAACCACATCAAAATTTTGAAAGAATGTTTCATCTTTTTCAGCAATATCACTGGAGTCTGCTGTCACCTCTACCATTGGATTAAGCAGGGCAGTTCTCTCAACAGATGCCTCGGCTCTCTGGAAATTTAAATGTTGATTATATCAGATGATTGGTATTGTACTGGTAAAACGTTAGCAGTATGTCTTCATATTAAGACCTCAATTTTAAGGATATCCCTGTTATTATTTTCAAGCTAAAAAAAGAGAAAAAAATGAGTTTCACATGTATCACACACATTAATGTCAATTGATATAATGCACAATTATGCTTTTACTTTAATGAAGTCATGCCACAAAACTTTTTAAATAGTTAACATACATTTTCACCAATTTTACTCCTTGGTATGAGAAACTGTGAACATGCATCTTCTTCTGTCACCTGAAAATAAAAAGATAATTATAAGCAAAAATATCATTTAAAATGATCTTTATTTTAAAATGTAAAAGAAATAAAAGGACAATTCAGTAATTGTAATTATAATAATAAAAACAGTCATAATACCATTTTGTCTTTAAACATTTCCACTTTCAAACCATTCATTCATGTACAAATCTATAGACAATTCTATGCAGGAATACTGAATCTGTCAGACTCTTTAACAAACTCAAATACAAATTTTACTATACACATATTTTTAGAGATAAATAAAAAAAATGTCGAAATTAAATTAATTTAAATTAATTTGAAAAACTTCTTCGCCTTAACTATAGAATTGCTCAACACATGATGTTAAACTTAGGCCACAATGGGAGTTGGCGTCTAAATCTAAATTAAATGTATTCACTGTATATGTTGTCAAATGACACCAACTAAAGATATAGGGTAAATACCAATTAAAATAAAAATTAAAGAACTAATCATTGATCATGACTGGTTTAACCATACAAATATTTATAAGGCATTCAGACAACAACAGCAATTTACCACAGTATGGTCCATCAGTGTGAGTGACTTTATCCCAGCTAACACAATATTCTTAGCTATCTCAGCTCCCAGTCCTTGGAGGCCAATCAATAGCACTCTAGCTGCTCTCAGTCTGAAACATTTTAAACCAAGTTAATAATGACTGATACAGCTATGTCAAACAAGTAAGGAAAAAATGATATATCAGTTCNGGTTTAGAACTGTGATTCAGCTAGTCAAAATTCCAATTTTACGAGGGGGGCAGAAATCGAAGGGGGGGTGGTCAAGACACCCCTGACCCCCCCCCCCCCCTATAAATCTGCCACTGAAGCACATATGTCAGTCAAAACATAACTCTCTGTATAATAACAATGCAGAGCAGAATACTACAAAGTAGTGCAAAACCACCAAACCCTCATATGCTGGTACCTGAAAAGCTATGTTCAGCATACTAATATACCAGCATTTCAAAATACAAAATAACAATAAATACAATAATAAAAGTACCATTCTGGGATAATTTTGTAGGCCAAAACTGTTGCAAAAAAAAAGAGAAAAAAAAAAAAAAAAAACCTCTGATAAATTTTCAGCACTTCAATGTAATGTCAGTGAGTCTTTCACCAACTAGTTTGGAGTTAAAACAGAGCTAGAGTATTTACTGTTTCACAGCAGTTCTGTTCTTCACCTCTTCTTATGACAATGCTCATGTTCAGTTTATTTTCACTGTCATATCATGGGGAGGTGAACATATCGCTAAAACACATGGTTTTAGTTTGAGGTAAATTTTAAACCATTTCTTACACAGTTCACAATTCTCACAATTCATCCTGGCAAGGATCACGTCCAGTTGACTTTGTGTCATGCCAAGGCCATGTGTCTGTGACTGGGTTCCCGTCCCTAGATCGATCAAACAGGATGGGTCCATCTCCACGGGTCCCTCGCTAAATTGCTTTCAGCCCAAGCGGCTTAGACTTCTGGGATGGCCACTAAAGCTGCTAAATGATAGTTAATTACCCATTATCAGCCTTAGCAAGCGTGACACACATCTAAGCCACCGAAGTTAATTGCAATTAAGCGAGAATCCCCTCAGAGATGGTTTGATCCAAAGTTAGTACAACAGTCTCTTGGGAATGGTCTCTGTGCCATAAGGTAAGGTTTTAACTGTTGCCTATACAGTCCACCATTCCACTTCCATCAAGACCATTGAAGAAAAAGAAATTGTTGTGTGGTGCATCCTTCTGTGAAACAGCCTTAAACAAACATAAAAAAGGATATATTTTACAAGTCATCGGAATGGGGAAAAACACAAAATGGCTTGTGTAGGCATGGAGCTGTTAAAACAAATAAGATGTACAGAATAAAACTACTGAATCACACAAAAGTAAATATAGAACCACTTAAGCAATCAAAATACTGAAAGATCTACAGAACACAAGCACATAAAATGGTGTTATACTTCAACGGTTTTGTTTAAGCAAATCTGATGGATGACTTCTTTGACCAAAGAGCAAAATCTGGATGTACCATGAAAAGCTTAGCGCTAGGTCAAGGGTACAATGTGTTACAGAGGCAAATACATATGTACTGTTTAATTACAGGGAAAAAGGTGAGAGACAAAAAAAGTTTGCACGAGGAAATGATTACATATCTGCAGGCGATCTGCAAAAACTGTCACAATATAAATCAATGATCCTGGGAAAGGCTTCCCTTCTCTATAGAAAATACACAAAAAAAGTTAACCTAAACATGACTAAAACTCCCCACTGCCCATTTACTCTCAAAACTGATTTAATGACAACCCCTTTTATTCTACTTCTCAAGATCTTGGCAATCCAACATTAAAACATGGCACAAATCCTGTTTTCCCAAAAATCTTTGAAACGCTGAAACATATCACTTTCCATGGCAAATAGCCTGAGGGACTAAGAGTCAAGACAAATATTTGTACAATGTTTTAAGAGAAATTGATTTCCCAGAAAATGAGCTCATTTCAAAGGACCTCAAGCCAGACATTGCATCAGGAACTGGTCTATTATTCTTTCTTATGTCTCTGAGGCAGCAAGCCATTAGCAACATATCCTTATGCCTGTGTTACACGGACCGTGACATTTCTTTTGTGATAAAGCAAACTGTGTCTCAGCCACACCTCAGAAAAAGCCATAAGATATGAGATGGATGACATCTGAACTTCTAGAAAAACTCTCTCACTGTCTCTCTCTCTCATGTGCACCAATGTAGAAAGACTGACAATGAAGCAAATTTTGCCTTGAAATGCAAGCCTTTAAGCAGTTAAGGCAACATAATTGAATAAAAAAAATCACACATTCTTTTTAAAAATGTGCTGCAACAGCTGGTTCTGTTTAACCATTTATTATTACTTTTTTCTTTTTTTGAAAAAACATTATTATCATCTTTTAAAACAAAATTATGTGCCTCTAAATCATTAACTAATTTGGCGATAATTGAGAAATGCTTTTCATCTTCTAGAATTCTTATTATATACCTTCCAAAAAAAAAAATACCTTTATGATTTCCTGCCCAAAGACTCCTCCAACAATTGCACAAACTGGACTGAGTTCGGCAAAACAGTAGCTAAACAACAGAATAATACTGACATGTTTATTTTCTTAAAAATAGCAAGGTGAGCAATTTGCTCTTTCTTTAAAAGAAAACATTTAAAACTTTTCAATTAATTCACATTTCGATTGGTTGGTTTCTTCTGTTTTAAGGTAGCATTCTATTGAAAACAAGGTGGTAATCAACAGAACATTTTCAGCACTAACACTATTATTTTGAAAATCAAATTAACCTATTCACAGACCATATAAATACATTTAAAGGTATAAATAAGTATCACTATCGCACAAAACAGGATAAATATCACTGTCACTTAAATACAAAGCTTTTAAATGAAAAAAAAAATAATTCTTAGTCAATTTCTTTTTGTTTTCATTTTTTGACACTCTCACCTGGCAAAAGAATCATCAACAAAATCTTTGCTAATCTTCAGTTCCTCCAGCACTTGGTCCCTTACTTTCAACAGGTTGACAATGTCTTCTTCTTTGGACTTTGGAGAAGGGTCCCTTTTGTGTTGAGCTCTAAATTTGAGTAAAACTGAAAAACAATGACACAAAACATAGTCAACACTGGTTGTAAAACATGACATAAGTACTGAAATAATAATCATAAATAAATAAACTAATAAATGAATGAATTGCATAGCAAACGAAAGAGATGCAAATAACTTCGTATCGATCTTACCTTGTATGATAAAAAATGTCTTAGGTACTTTTTTCAGTAGTTTGGACATATTTTCTGAACTCCAATCCACAGCCAGTGCTTCTTTTAATCTCACAAAAGACATCGACTGGAGAAAAAGAACAGCAGTAAGTGAACATGCAAACGAACTTTTGAATACATTCAACTTGAATTTCAAGCAAAGAGTTTTAAGGATTCCAGCAATCCAACATTTGGACTTTTAGCTCTAAACAGACCCATCCCCTCCATTGTTTATTGATCTTCAACGCCATTTGTTACATTTTAAATGTGTAACATTGACACCCTAGACAAACGTAGACATTGGCTGTATCAGAGGTTTTATACAAAATTAAAAAATTGTGAAAAGTTGGGATATTTATTGCCTGAAAGAAACACCCGCCCTTTACGAAACAACACCAAATTCTTACAACCAAAAGTGAAGACGGAACGTTAAAAAAATTCCTTTATTAATTATTGCCTTTTTAACTTGTAGTAATTTATGGATGCCTTTTTAATTTGTAGTATTTTAAGAATAATTTATTGTTTTACAATTCAAAGTTTATTGTCAATTTTCTTTTGAACATTCTTTGTACAACTTCAACCTTAGGGTTGCAATTTTATCTAATAAATTATTATTATTATTATTATAAATATAAAACATCCAGATATTGTAATAAAAACTAAGATGCATCCACTTGGTACAAGCTGAAAATATCAATATAAATATCTCAGGGGGTAAACATTTACCTTTTTGGAAACAACTGTTTCTTCTTCTTGCATTTTTGCTTTTTTTGCAGAAGCATCTCCACTTTCTTTTTTCTTCTTGATTGTTTCCCTAGAAGTTTCAGAGGAATATTTTAATAACTATTTACCTTAAAGCATTAATATGTTTTGTAAGGTTTCTTTAAGCAGTGCATTGTCTGAAAATATCTCAACTTAGATGCATAAGATATAGAATTTCTCCACCTTCAAAAAGGCTGAATTCTGTTATGAAATATATGCAACAGAAGATGACGAAAATCACAGAAAGATTTTCAGACCAAGACCAAGATTATTGCCTCTTGCCTGCAAATGTAACCCCCCCCCCCAAAAAAAAAAAAAATAAATAAAATTAAATAAATAAATAAATAAATAAATCCAAGTTAAAGAAATCTAACCCACTGTCATCTTTGTAATGGGAACTTGAAGACACTCACTCTGCATATTCATGCTCATTCAGGTCAGCAAACATGAAACCATGGTAACCAAAAACATCGCCTGCGAAGAACTTTATCTTGTTTTCGTGACATATAGAGTTTATCCTGAGGAGCTGGTCTTTGATCAGATTGGTTGCACAAACCACATCAAAATTTTGAAAGAATGTTTCATCTTTTTCAGCAATATCACTGGAGTCTGCTGTCACCTCTACCATTGGATTAAGCAGGGCAGTTCTCTCAACAGATGCCTCAGCTCTCTGGAAATTTAAATGTTGATTATATCAGATGATTAGTATTATACTGGTAAAACGTTAGCAGTATGTCTTCAAATTAAGACTTCGATTATAAGGATATCCCTGTAATTATTTTCAAGCTAAAAAAAGGAAAAAAAACCCTGACAGTTTCACATGTATCACTCACATAAATGTCAATTGATACAAGACACAATTCTACTTTTACTTTAATGAAATCATGCCACAAAACTTTTTTAATAGTTAACATACATTTTCACCAATTTTACTCCTTGGTATGAGAAACTGTGAACATGCATCTTCTTCTGTCACCTGAAAATAAAAAGATAATTATGAGCAAAAATATCATTTAAAATGATATTTATTTAAAAATGTAAAAGAAGTGAAAGGACAATTCAGTGAAGAACAGATTCATTCATGTACAAGTCTATGCAGCAATACTGAATCTGTCAGACTCTAACAAACTCTTTAACAAACTCAAATACAAATTTTACTATACACATATTTTTAGAGATAAATAAAAAAATGTCGAAATTAAATTAATTTAAATTAATTTGCAAAACTTCTTCACCTTAACTATAGAATTGCTCAACACATGATGTTAAACCTAGGCCACAATGGGATTTGGCATCTAAATCTAAATTAAATGTATTCACTTGTCAAATGACACCAACTAAAGATAAAGGGTAATCCTTTTTAAAATACCAAAATAAAAAAGGAGTCATTGATCATGACTGGTTTAGCCATAGAAGTATTTATAAGGCATTCAGACAACAACAGCAATTTACCACAGTATGGTCCATCAGTGTGAGTGACTTTATCCCAGCTAACACAATATTCTTAGATATCTCAGCTCCCAGTCCTTGGAGGCCAATCAATAGCACTCTAGCTGCTCTCAATCTGAAACATTTTAAACCAAGTTAACAATGACTGATATAGCTATGTCAAACAACTGAGGAAAAAATGATATATCAGTACATTTAAGGTTGTGGTAGTCTTGAAATGGCTGTGATCTGTCAGTGTTGTTTCTTCAAGAGTGGAACATCTAATTTCATGTGGGAATGGTTTGTCAAGTTTTACAAAAAAATATGGTCAAACTAATCTAAAAATCTCTAGCTTTCTTGT